CCAAGTAACTGGGACCACAGGCCCCCGCCACAAGGCCCAGCTATTTTTTGGTTGCAGCCATCATTGTTGTTTGGCGGGCCCAGGCTGGATTCGAACCCGCCACCTTAGGTGTATGTGGCTGGCGCCTTAGCCACTTGAGCCACAGGCGCCAAGCCACTTTGCTTTGGTTTTGAGGGTTTTTATTTTATTGTTTTTATTTTTGAGACAGAGTCTCACTCTGTCACCCTCGGTAGAGTACTGTGGCATCACAGCTCACAGCAACCTCAAACTCGAGCTCAATTGATTCTCTTGCCTCAGCCTCTCTAGTAGCTGGGACTTAAGGCGGCCACCACAATGCCTGGATATTTTTAGATGTGAGGCCTCTCTCTGGCTCAGGCTGGTCACAAACTCAGGCAATCCATTCACCTCTGCCTCCCAATACCGAGTAATGAAGATTTTGCCCGAGTTTCTGCAGCAATGCTCAACTGGCCATGACACCCACAGAAAGTGTATTTCCTTTCAACAAACACCTGCATGTTAAGACTTAGAAATACAGAGATGCCAGGAAAAGGGTTAAAATACAATTCTGTGATAGAAATGCTAAACAAGGAATGTCTGCTGGGGCCTCGAATGTTTATTGACTGCTTACTATAAGCCTTTGACTGTGCTAAGTGCTCCCGTTTAGTACCCATCATAACCCTACAGTCATGAGAAACTGAGCCTGAGAGAGGTTAAATAACTTGCCCAAGATTAGAGTTGCCAGGCAGCTGAGAAAGCCCTTATTTTGACACTGCTTTCTCCAAGAAACTGCCCCCATCTCAGTTCCCTTTCAGGTAGAGAACTACCTTGCTAGCTCCACAGCTTACATTCTGCCTCTGGAAATGACTGTTCACCAATTGTCATCTCGTTAGAGTGGGGGCTACTCAGGGGAAGGGGACTCGTCCACTTCTCTGGCCGATATCCCAGCACAAAACAGCCCATAGTGGTTGTTGCTGAACTGAACTGTGCGCTGAGGCTCTTTGCAAAGACTAAAACCTGCTGTTTAGGTATATGGGAATGTGAAGCCCATTGTTTAGAGAACACGGCTATTTCCACTCATCCTAAATTAAGGGAAAGGACCTCTGTTACAGGGATCAGCATAGCACAGGCATCTCTACCTGGGAGCCCAGCATCACACAAAACGCACTCTGAGAATTACAGGCTAGATCTGAAGCCCCGCGTGATGTGATGTGGACTCCAAGGGGAGTGCAGAGGGTGCAGAGAAGACAGCGGGGAATGGACAGGTTCAGACACCCTGACTCCGCTGACATGGAGATGACCCCTTGACTCTGCCTTCTGCCTCCATCAACAAGCCTGAGGATTCAGCCTCCTAAAGAGCTTTCTCCTCTGCCCCTCCACCCCCTCATCATTAGAGGCTCATTATCATTGTAAACTCTCTCCCCATCTCTACACTTGCTTCCAATTGCAGGGCCCTAACTCCTGCCTCTCTACCACCTATCCATATTCCCCTCTGTGTCAGGGCTCTGCTCTTGCCTTGGGCATTCTTTTTTTTTTTTTTTTTTAGAGACAGAGTCTCATTTTATCGCCCTCAGTAGTGCCCTTGTGTCACAGCTCACAGCAACCTTCCATCTCCTGGCCTCAGGTGATTCTCTGCCTCAGTCTCCTGAGTAGCTGGGACTACAGGCACCCGCCACAATGCCTGGCTATTTGCCTTGGGCACTTTCAACAGCTAATCTGTATTATCCTTAAAACAAAGCTCAGTGTTTTGTTTGTTTTTTGGAGACAGTCTCAAGCTGTCACCCTGGGTAGAGTGTTGTGGCATCATAGCTCACAGCAACCTCAAACTCTTGGGCTTAAGTGATTCTCTTGCCTCACCCTCCCAAGTAGCTAGGACTATAGGTGTCTGCCACAATGCCTGGCTATTTTTTGATTGCAGTTGTCATTGTTTGGCAGGCCTAGGCTGGATTCGAACACACCAGCTCCAGTGTATGTGGCTGGCGCCCTAGCTGCTGAGCCACAGGCACCGAGCCAAAGGTGTGTCCTTATAAAGCTTACAAGTCTCTGTCTCTACAAATAAATAAATAAATAATAAAGCTTAAAAGCAGTGAGAAAATTTACCTGTTGGGTAAAAGAATAGGCATGTGTTTAAGGAACCAATAATTGATTATTTGCATTAAAAATTTACTGATATTGATTGAAAAACTTTCTTAAGGATATCACTTCAAAAAGTGATTTGGGGGGTCATTATACACTTGTCTGGAGGTTTAATCTCAAATCCACATGGAGACACTATAACCACTCAGTGTTCAGGACCATGATCTAGGCCCCTTATAAGGCCCTTTGTGGTTAGCCCCTCCAGACTTGTTCATTTGTCCCCTGGGCTGTCCAGCATCCATGGAACAGCTAACCTGCACGTGCCTTCCTGCCCCAGTTCCAGTTCAACTACTGTTGGACCTGGGGAAAGTCTTTTAATCTCTGTGTGCCTCAGTTTCCTCAGCGATTAAAAAGAGAGAGTTCCAATGGTATGTATCCCTTAACAATGTGTGAATACTGGCCAGGCAGAGTGGCTCATGCCTATAATCCCAGTCCTCTGGAAGGCCCAAGCAGGTGGATTGCCGCAGCTCACAGGTTGGAGCCCAGCCTGAACAAGAGCAAGACCACATCTCTAAAAAAATAGCCAGGCATTGTGGCGGGCACCTGTAGTCCCAGCTACTGGGGAGGCTGAGGCAAGAGAATGGCTTGAGCCCAAGAGTTTGAGGTTGCTGTGGGTGTGATGCCATAGCACTCTACCAAGGGTGACAAAGTGAGACTCTGTCTCAAAAAAAAAAAAAAAAAAAAAAAACTGTAAACATTGCAGAAGTGCTACAGGACAAGGGCTACACCACTGAGAACATGCCTAGTTGTTACCTGCCATTGTTAGACTCCCTAGAATCTCAGGGCCTTGGCACAGGCAATTCTCTCTGCCCACTTTCCTCCCACTGACCTTTCCTGACGTTCCAGCAATTTCGTCCAGCCTCTAGGTGCCACTTCCAGCGCAGCGGCTTAATTATGAATGAATAAACTAGGGGAGAGCGTACCTGGGGAACAGCAAAGTGTACAGAAAGTCTGAGGCACTAGAGGTGTTTCCATGAGTGTGCTTCTCTTAAGAGCACAGAGACAACTGTGAAGAGGTTCAAAGGTGAAGGGTCTCCAGTTATTCCTCCTGGGTGTGGGTCTCCTCCGCGCGGCTGGATCAGCACCAAGTTCCATGAAGCGAGGGCTGGCAAGGGCTGCCCGTTTGAGGTGCTGCCCACGGGCACGTGGGAGCCGGGTAGGGGGGCGCGCCGGGAGGACCCACTGAGCAGGTGTCGGGAAGGAGGAGCCCGCAGCAGCGCGGGAAAAATGGAACACGCGAAGGCGCCGGAAGGCGGCAGGGTGCTGCGGCGGCGGGGAACCTGGCCCGGCTGCTGCTGGCAGAGGAATGTGCCCCACCCTCGGGGCTTGGCTGGCATCCGCCCTGCCCCTCCAGACAGGATTGAGGCCCGGTGTCTGGCCGGAGTCTGGATCTCCTCCTGGGCGAGAGCATCAAGGATACGCCCCGCAGGAACGCAGGTTCTTGCTTTCCCTTAACGCTGCCGCCACCCTGGCATACCTGAGCCGAGGACAGGTGGGACCCCAGGGCGACTCTAAAGTTGCGAACTAAGGGGCAGGCCCACCAGACTCTCGGGGTTGTTCAAAGAGGCGGCCCCGCGCCATGACCACGCCCCTTGCCGCGTCCCATTGGTCCCTCCAGGGAGGGGCGGGTAGAGGGCGGGGCTAAGGGCGCCGGCGGACACCCCCGGCAGCACAGACGGCGGTGTGTTTTAGCCTCTGGTATCCCTGTCGCAGCTCGCCCGTCGTCCCTGTCCACTGCGCGGACCTCGGCCCCACACTCAGTGGCGAGCACAGAGGTGACAGACTCCGAGATTTCGGAGTAGCCCTGCCTAGAAGCCGTGGCATCTGCGACCGCACGGCCACTGGCCGGGACAAGTGCAGTGCTGGGACTGCTCCGAAGATCTCTCCGAGGCCGCCGGTGACGCCCGCCGGGTCCTGCTGGCCGTCGAGCCCAGACATCTGCTCACCGTCGGGGCATCCCAGGGCCTCGGGTCGGTCCGCAGAGCGGATGTGCGCCCGCTGATCGTCCCACCCGGCCAGATATGGCCGCGCGCCCCGGCCCGCTCTGGCTATTGGGCCTGGCGCTGTGCGCGCTGGGCGGAGGTGGCCCCGACCCACGCCCCCCGCCCGGCTGTCCCTCGCTTCGTCTAGGCGCTCGCGAGCGCCGCGACATGCAGCGCGAGATTCTGGCGGTGTTTGGGCTGCCCGGGCGGCCCCGGCCCCGCGCGCCGCCAGCTGCCGCCCGCCTGCCCGCCTCCGCGCCGCTCTTCATGCTGGACCTCTACCACGCCATGGCGGGCGACGACGACGAGGACGGCGGGTCCCCAGAGCGGCGCCTGGGCCGCGCAGACCTGGTCATGAGCTTCGTCAACATGGGTGAGTGCTGGCCGCTGGGGTGGCGTCGGGGACCCGGCGGTGACCGTGTTGACTGCGGGCTCAAGTAGCCCCTCCGGGAATGAACGTGAGCTGCAGCCGTGGACAGAGCCAGACCTTAGCTGGAAACGGGGAGTCACAGGCGATGGACCCAACCCACAGGGGAGTGGGGACTGCTGTGGTCAGGGGAGGTCTGAGGGGCATGAGGCTTCCTGGGCAGGAGCAGCCGGGAGTGTGGACTCCCAGGGGACTGCATTCGCCCCACCCCTAACCGCTTGGGGGTAGAAACCAGGTGATGTCAGCGCCCACCTGGGCTGCACCAGGAAGACAGCCTGGCCACAGAGACAGATGAGTAAACAGAGGCTGGGATGCTGTCACTGTGATAAGGGCAGTACTGAGGAGAGGGACAAAGTTCAGTGTGGAAACCTGTGGTCACATCATCAAAGTGACCAGAGCTGACCCACAGGCCCTGAGTCCAGAGCAGGCTCTTCCCGGTGGAGAGTCGCCCAGCCTGGGCGGGGTAGAGGCCAGGGCAGCTGCTGGGAAGGAGCAGCCTCTCAGCTCTGTGGGGCAGGGGCTGTGTGGTCCTGTCACCCCCAGTCCCAGCAGCTGGGGAAGCCTGTCTTTCCCTGGCTGCACACAGTTTTCTCCAAACCTTGGACCATTTACTCATAAAGGTCTCAAAGATTTTTTCTTCCACTAGAAAACTCTGTTGTCTGTAGCCGTGAGTATTTGCTGTTGGTCAGGTCTCCCATCTGCTTTGCCTCCTGTTTTTGCCAGTGGCAGGCAGAGATCTGGGCTGAGCAGGCAACAGGCTGGGTCTGGGGACTCAAGGACCACAATTCAGCCTGAGGAGGTCAGGGAGCCTGGGGCTGAGAGCAGGTTGAGGACCCTTGTCACTGCCACCCTTCATCCACAGCATCACTCTTGATCCTCCAGCAGCCCTGTTCACAGCCGTGGTCCTCATCCCATCTCCCAGGTGAGAA